ATAAATATATATATATAAAATACAATTCACTAATTTAGACTTACAAGTCACAGTTACACACTTATAGGATATCAAGATAAAAAGTCGTGAGTGATAGATTTCAATTAGAGAAAAGATCTTAAAGCTGAAAAAAAATATCGACGGCCTCTTGGAATTAGAAGAAGAGAAAAAAAAAGTTCAACAATACTCATTAATTTTGGAGACAACTATATCGACAACCTCTTCCTAAATATTCAAAAGAACTCTCTTATGTATAAATATTTATGACTAATTAGAGGTTAACAAATCAAAAGAATATATGAGGAATTAAAGTATTTTAGTTAGGCCAATTTTAAAACTTAAAATTTTATCCCTCATCTCCTCTCCAAAAAAAACCTACTTTTAGAGGGGAAGTTAGAAGGGAAGAGGAGGGGAGAAGAACCCCTCTCCTTTTTAAAAAATATCTTAACCAAATAAAGTGAGGGGAGTAACTCCCCTTCCTTCCTAAAAAATTGTACCAGTCAAACAAGAAGAGCGGAGCAACTTCTCTCCCCTCCCCTCTAAAAACCTTGTGCCAAACAAACATAGTGTTAACGGATGTTATCGTGACATATGAACAATTTTAATTTTCAATCTAAATTGATATTACATGAGTTTATTCAAATCTCATTCAAAATTTAAATTGATATCACATGCATTAATTTATAGGGTTAAGGTGTGCCCAATACCCCAAACTATTTTTCTAGGTGTACCCAGTGTTCTAAAGTAATTTTCGGTGTATCTAATGTTCCAGACTAATTAAAACGGTGTGTCCATATCCCAGGCTAACAGAAAAGTTAAGTTTGACCGTTATCTTGCTGACTCAGCTGAAGGTTTTCAGAAAAATCCTACATGGCAAACATGCAGGCGTCTAATGTGTATTATTTTAACTGAAGCTCCTGAGACAAGCCCAGTGGCCGCAGGTATTTTCTTGGGAGGCTATGGCAATGTCGAGGAGAGTGACCAAGGGGAAGTTTACTGTGTTCTATGAGGAAAAAAGCAAATGCGAGTCGGATGAGGAGTTGATAGAGACGGAGACGAAAGTGTGCTGTGATGGTAGTTGAGGTTTCAAATCGGAGTGGTGAAAGAAATGAGATAAAATGTTAAAGACAAGGATAGGATTAAATAGATGGTACATGTACCAAGATTTAAGAAGGTGGATCGGTGGTCTTTCATTCTTTTTTTTAAAGTTTAAAAACTGGTAGAAGATAAACGTTAGAAGAGAAGGAAATAAATTGAATTTTCATTCAAAATAATACACATCAGACGTCTGCGTATCCGCCATGTAAAATTTTTCGGTCAACCTTCAGCTGAGTTAGTAAGATAACGGTCAAACTTAACTTTTTCTGTTAACCTGGGATATGGACGCATCATTTTAATTAGTTTGAGACATTAGGTACACCAAAAATTACTTTAAGACACTGGGCGCACTTAAGAAAATAATTCGGGATGCTGAGTGCATCTTAACTCTAATTTATATTTGGTATACTATTTAGAGGTCATGAAAACGTGGAACGAGAAATAGTTTGCTACATGTGACTGATGATCAAAATTTCTCATAAGAATATTTCATGTAAATAGTTTCAACATTTACTTGATGTCCCCAGTATGCTAGTAAATCTGCAACACAGTAAATTAGCTCATTGAGGAGACATAGATCCTCTATAAAAGGTGAGGAAATGGAGTTCATGCTTAAGAAAAAATAATATTGTTATTTCGATGAACAATGAGACAATCATTGAAGTTTTCCCATTATTTGTATATTTCAGATAGCTTAGACACAATTTAATCCCAAACCCAACGTCTCCTTTCACTGTGATAACCTTTTGTCCTATATTTTTCTTCTCTTTACCCGCACTTTCAAGAGATTAAGAGAATTCCCATGAAAACTGGACCCACGTTATTATAGATTGAGAAACATTGAAGGAAAATTAGTTGTTGCTAATTATTTGTTTAGAATGGAGTTAAAGCTATCACCATTGGAGGAGAAAGAACCATGAAGTGATTTTAGAGGCTGTGTGAGAGAAGAGAATCTTTATAGTGGGGAATTCATCCAAAAGAAGACCATAATCTGATATGCAAATTTGGTTCCTAAGAATTAAAACTAATACTACTTTAGTACTTAATATAAAAACTAATTTGACTTTTAATTTAGTTTTAAATATAAGATCCCTATCACTTTGTTTCTCATATTTATATATTTTTTCTAAAGTAATTCTTGCAGTAGTTGCATATATTGAAAATTTTACCAAATGATAATTCTAATCAATACACTTGATTAGCAAGGATATTTTAAGAAAGACAATAACTATTTATTATAAATAACTAATTTAATTAATTTTTTAATTTATTCAAATTAGGTAGCAAGCTTTAATAGAAGTAGTATTAGATTGCTTCACAAAAAGTTAATAACAGATGCCTAAAAGTCCTCATGAAAATTCATATTCTCAAGCTACGTTGAGAAGAATTAGAGGTTGTAAAGAAATTATGCAGAATTGTAATAAGGTTTCAAAGACGAAAGATATTCACTAAAAAAATCTCATAATAACCGAATAGCTTATAATAACAAATTTCAGAATAAGAAATTACATGTTTCATCTATTTATTTATCATTTAAAACTGTTAGTAATTATTTTTTCCTTAAAGTCTCATAATAATTCTCCCAAGAAACTACTGCAACCAAGGCATGGCAAGAGAATAACAGGCGGCTGTTTTATTTATTTAGTTAGAACTGTATTTTAATAATAAGAGTTAGTTGACTAATTTGATTAGATTAAAAAAGTTTATTAAGTTAATTATTTGTAATAAATAGGTGTTATTTTTTTTAAAATATTCTTGCTAATTAAGGATATGAACAAGAACTATCATTATTGAAATGATTATCTTAAAAAAATAGATAAATATGAAAGACAAAGTGAATTAAATCTTATATTTATAATCAAAATAAAAAATTAAACGAGATTTTATATTAAAGACTTAAAATAATATTATTTTTAATTTCAGTAATGGATAAGGATCCCCAACCCCCCCCCCCCAACCTCCCCAGTCGACCTTTCAAAAATTGGAAGTCTCTTTTTTTTGGTGAATAAAAATTTGAAGTCTTCATATGAAAGAAATTGGGGTTAAAGGGTCAATAAACGTCATTCTCCCCCTTCTCGTCGTCACCACTCCGACTCGGCTATTCTTTCTTGCGTAGTTGCTGTCTCGTCCTTCTGCAAAGTCTCTCGATGGCTAGCAAGCTTTCAAATGGTAATCTCAAGAATCTCTTCAATATTTGGCATTTTTCGCTAGCTCTTTATATTTCGGTCTCTTTCTATTACTCTGCAAACAAACAGAGAGCCTACACTGGCCCTCGCTGGAGGAGTATCTTCAACTCATAATTGCTGCTATTACATACCAATACACTTCAATTGTCTATTTTTTATGTTTGACATACACAGAGGCTATTCTTGAGCAGCTGAGAAACGGGACTGCTAAATTTGAACTTGTTTCCTCTCCACTTCCATCAATTTCAGTCGCTGCTCGTAACTTGAAGACAAGTTCCTTTGGAGACAACAGTAGCAGGTTCTTTGCAAGGATTGGGTCCTCGCTGTAAGTTATCCTTTTGTTTGTTTAAAATTTATCTCTTGCCTTCCTTTTCTTTTCCTGTATTTTATTTTATTTTTTGGGTGCTTCAAAAATGGATTGCAGTTTCGTTAAAGACCCAGATATTTCTTCTCTTATATGCCGCTAGACTCTAGGCTTGCATATTTCTTTTCTTTTCCTTTTTTGGTTTGGCATTTTTAATTTGCCTGCATTCTCCTCGTTATTTGTTCACAGCGGCGGGCACTCACCTGCTATGAAGAAGGTTGAGCGTTTCTCAGTCGTGAAGGTTACTGGGGATGGCCGGTGTCTATTTCGTGCGCTGGTATCATCTTTATTTCATATTATTTTAATCTCCTCTGTGCTTTGTTGTAAATGGAATGTTCATAGTTGTACTGATTGCATTTAATATTTTCTTTTTATCATTTAGCCTTTATTGACGTCTTTTACCTTCGAATAATTTAATGGCCTATGCGATTTGATTTTACATTATTACTTGCCCATAACATGCCAAATTTCTTGTGTGATGAGATGCTGTGTGGGCTTGGTCCTTGTTCCCTAGGGCAAAAACTGAAGTAAAGATAACAACACAAATAACTAGCTAGGTAACGCACTGTCAAGCTGCATTTAGATTTTTCTATTAATGCTTGTAAGCTGTAAATCCTAATAAGAAAACGATAATACTTTTTGGAAGACATCTATAGCTGTTAACCTGTCGACTTTGGAGCTGGACAAATGACCTCAATAAGTTAGGGCCAAGTCTGAGAAATGTACAAACTTTAATATTCTGTATTCTTGGCAATCATGATTAAAAAATTAAAGAGAAGACATGGAGTAACTGGAATGCAACTTAACTTAGATAACAGTACCTCATCTATTCATATTGTGGCTGCTGATGGTTGTTTCTTTGGAACAAGACGGGAAACTGGATACTTTTCCTCTTGTTCCAGACTTTTTAGAGCTCTATCGCTCAAATTTCTTAATACTGACTTTGTACTCTGACATGCTGTTGGATGACTCACACACAATTGCGTCTTGTTTAAAGTAATGACCTCTGTTTAAGTTATCATTGTTAGCTAGCATGGAATGATATTGATTAGGCTTAAGATCATGAAGGTATTGGATGGCACCACTCTTTGACAAATAGTCCTTCAAAGTTGGATGTTGAATATTACACTGTAAATCATAATTTCTTCCCTTCTTTCGCCTTGTTAGGGGGCATGGCCTTTATTTTCTCTAGTAAGTAAAGTGCCAGAGTCCATTCCCTGGCATCCTTGTTGATATGTTGAATTGCCAAGTCCTTCTACACTTGGGACCACCGCATACAATCACAGAAAGTAAGTTGAGTTGCAAAGCAAAGCTTATACAATGTATTTGGCCTAAATTTCTCTTCTTCAGGTCAAAGAAATGGCTTACAATAAGGGAATCGCTGTTAACCCACATGAGGAGAGAGAAAATGCAGGTATTCTGATACACAGACTGAATGACACGCAGATGGAAAAATTAATTGATATTTTCGCGCTTTTCAAATTGCAGAATTTTCACCATATGGCTCTTAGATATATATATATTATCATAAATTTAGCTTTAAGACTATCATGATATTAACCTGGCCTGCTCATCTTCTATTCTTTTTCTTCTTTTCGTCAATGGTCAACCTCTGGCTTGGCTGCTGATAGCACAGATGAATTAAGACTGGCCGTGAGAGAAGTTATCTGTGAAAATAAAGGAGAACGCAAGTTATATGAAGATGCTCTGATTGCCATCACAGTTGATGAGTCTCTAAAACGGTATGCCCTTTTTTAAACTTTTTTTGGGAAAATTCAGGAAGCATTGACAGAAAAGACCATAGGAAAAACAGAAATAAAGATCATGAAATGTTGCCTTTTGTGTAATTGATGGCAGAAGTACTCAGCACAATTGGGTTTGTTATTCTGTAGTTACTGCCAGCGCATTTTGAGGCCTGATTTCTGGGGAGGAGAGTCAGAGCTACTGGTTAGTTTTTGTGGTTTTTCCTGGATATCTTGGAAGTTTTTGTCTTTTTGTTTTTCCCCACACTTTCATGATTTCAATATTAGATCCATTTTTTTTTTTTTTTGCCAACGATATTATATGCATTTTATGCTTTCGTATAAAATTAAACGTATATTTTACTATTTTAACAACCAAAGTTATAATATTCTTTAATGCATATTTTATTACTTTAATATCAGACATCAGAAGAAAGTTATATTATTTTACTTTTAGTGGGAACTTGTGCTTAAAACTTTATCTGGACCTAAAAGTTTGCCATCACTTGTTTTTATATATTGACTGCTTAATCGCACTGCCCCCTTAATTGAAAATTCAGATACTGACTAATGTCCACATTCTGTCAGGTGCTCTCAAAATTGTGCAAGCAGCCAATTATTGTTTACATACCAGAGCATGAGGTATGCCTGAAGTAACTTTATGTTCTAAGTAAATCAATGGTTATCTATTTATAGTTGAGAAAGAAAAACTTGTAATTAGCGTGTGCCTCTCCACTTCCTTTTTCCCCACAGCCATGCTGGACTTTTTCTAAGCCGTCTTACTCTTCTCGTTATGTTACTGTGTATGAACAATAATGCATTTCAGACAGATGAAGGTGCTAATCTCTTATGTAATGCGGAGATCCATTCATAGGAAATGAGAAATTAATTGGTCACCATGTCTTCATTATTTTGGGCACACTGAGTCAGTATATAAGCTAATTGGAATCTGATAGAATCAGCTTTATTTACCAGACCTATAAAAGTAAAATTAGCAAGATACATGGAAGAGTAAAATCACTTTCTGCTACCCTGGACGTTGGCCTCAAGCTTTATTGTCTTTTAGAGAAAGTTATTGAGCATATTAGTTACTCTAGGGTGGCTATAGGCCTGACCTAGGAAACTGTTGTATTGGGGGTTGTGAGGATCACTTTTTGGAGTATTAATATTCGTTGGGTTCTCAGTGGAAGGGGGACTTATTTTTTGGACTGAGTTTGGTGAGGAGAGTGCTGGCCCCTCGAATGCCAGGTGAGGGGTGGAGGAAGAGAGTCTTTCTTCATCATTTTCTTTGTATTTCAGTATGTATTTTAGTGTGCTAGTGAGTTGAGTGACCTTTGTTGTTTCCTGTGTGAACTGTGCCAGTTATATATTGTATTGAACCCAACCTTTTGTGTGATTAATATCAGTTTCAGCATTACTTGTCTACTGTTTTATCTTGGTCTCTATCATTTTGGTATCAGAGCAGTGAGATCTTGGGGCTGTAGGTAGGAAGAATGGTGGTGAAGGATGAAAGATGGTACAAAACACTACCTTTTTTCTACGGAGAGGATCCCTTTGAATGGCTCTGTCATGTGGAAAAATATTTCCTAAACAACTTCATCGCAGAGGATGAAAAGTTGGAGGTTGCTGTGGCATGTCTTTGGGAAAAAGCTATGGACTGGCTTATTTGGTTTGACACCCAAGCAACCATACAAAGCTGGAGTGAGCTCAAAAGAGAGATAATAAAAAGGTTCTCTACTAAACAAGAGCTACGAAAAGGAAATGAAGGGAATAAGTTTGTGGAAGCAGAGGAAAACTCAGAGACAAAAAGGGAAGTTGAAGATGGGGTAATAGAAGAGAAAGAAGACAAGAAGAAATCAGATGAGCAAGAAGAGGGACAGGAAGAGCCTACTGTTCAGCAACAATTTAAGTTGGCGCCTTTTTCACTTGAAGAGAAGATTGAAAAAGATCAACCTGAGTTGCAGCTTGTAACGGCACCAAAGTCCTTTGATGTTAAAAGAAGTGATTTCATAAGCCCAGAGGAAGCCACAACCGAGAATGAAGTAGGGAAAGAACTGAAGGCTGAACAACTAATAAAGTTTCAACCTTTTTCTGAAAGAGAGGAGCTTGAAGAAGTTTTCAGCAACCATCCAAAAGAAAGGCTGATACACGAAGGTTCTCAAGTCTCACAAGCTACCAAAATAATGATAAGCAGTTCCATCGAAACTCAACAAATGGGTGCCGCTGCAGCAAAAGCGACCGAGAAGGAGACACGAACCTATAATCTTGAGAAGAGGAAAAAATACTGGAAATATGATAAGCGACGAAGAAAGAAGCTAAAGGCAGAGTTGAAACCGTTGACTTTTAAGACCTTGCGAGACGTTGTTGAAGATTTTCAGTTAGAAGGAAAAATGCAAGAAGATGTTGAGAAGGAAGATGAGAAGCAAAATGATGATGAGCAAGAGGGAGAAAAACTTGCAGCGGCTGGAAAACAAATTAAGATACCAATTTCTTTGGGCAAAAGTAAGATGCGGGAGACGAAGGAGAAGGTGGCAGTAGTAGGGCATGCAAACAATGATGCGTTTGAACGTTTCGCACAAGGGGAGTCGTCATTTGAATTCAGTCAAGACGGCGGAAACCAACGGCCCCAAAACTGGTCGTTAAACACAGGAGAGAGAGGAAAAACGGCAAAGGTAGGGTGAAAAGCAAGTGGAGACTGGATCGGGTTAAGCTAATTGCTTGTAGTGGAAGCCCAAAAATAGGTAAAATTGGGCCCAATATCTTCTTACATTATGAGAGGGGAATGACCCAGTCGCATACACCAACTGATTTCAGAGTTATTAAGAGGAAGATGGGCTTGGGCTTTAAAGTAGCCCAAAGCCTTCAATCCATAACGCCGCAATCCAACTCATCTTCAAATAGATTGACGGGAACATTTCCATTGCGCTTTTGGGAACCAGCCAAGGGCAGTTTGAATACAGGGGTGGAAGGCGTTGAAACAGAGGCGACTTTCTTTCCTACTAAAACAACCCTCGGTGCCTACAAGAAATTCTGCAAATTCGTATGTTCTAGTTTCGGAGGTTTTAGCGATGTACAGCAATGTCTCTTCTGTGCAAATACCGACGATACATATTGGAAGCTTGGGAAACAAAAAATTCACTCCACCCCACTTGCTTATTCTGGTGCTGCATGTTCTGGGATTAACGGGTTGACTGGCCCTATAGGAAACAAATCAGAGGCTCATGATTTGGAGATTTTGGGTTTACGTAGAGAAATTTTCTGGGTTATTGAGACTTCTGAAGAGACAGATTATTGGGCCTTCGCATTCGAGAACTTCAAAACACTAAGGAGGGTCCAGTACACCCAACGTCTCCCATCAGTTTATATTGCCTCTGACTTACTTCTCTGAGCAAGGACTATGTGTTGAAGACGGTAAAACGTGGGTCAGGGTTAAAGGTCTTTTTGGGGAGCTATGGCCCAACCAAGGGAGAATGACCATACATCTTCAACTTCGATTCTGGTTAATGGGTAAAAGGTTTTTTGTGCTGGAGATTATTGTGTGGGCTGTCATAATTTCTAGTCAAGGGATGTTAATAATTACTTTCAATGCTCAAGTGGCTGGAGGTGATAGGTCTGCATCTGTTCTGCATAATACTTCAGATATCTCTGCTGTTTTTAAGCTGCTAATTGAAGCTAGTGATGAATTAGACGCATTTAGGGCCATCTATCAGAATATAGTAATTTTATTTATGGCCCATTGCTTCCGACAGGTGGAATATCCTGACAAAATTGAGGGACTAACTAGAATTTGTGGTTTTGTCAGCAAAAGAACAGATATTCAGCTACAAATTTTCTCAAGAGCCAATGAAGAAAATGGAAGCGCATTTTCAGGCATAGAAGTTGAAGATATCGCCCAAGGATTGACGAAGAATGGCATGATTATTGAAACAGATGAACATGTAATTCATGGTTCTGCCACCTATCACCTTGAGGACAAGGTGCAGCTTTTAGGGGAGGGTAATGATAGAATCAGCTTTATTTACCAGACCTATAAAAGTAAAATTAGCAAGATACATGGAAGAGTAAAATCACTTTCTGCTACCCTGGACGTTGGCCTCAAGCTTTATTGTCTTTTAGAGAAAGTTATTGAGCATATTAGTTACTCTAGGGTGGCTATAGGCCTGACCTAGGAAACTGTTGTATTGGGGGTTGTGAGGATCACTTTTTGGAGTATTAATATTCGTTGGGTTCTCAGTGGAAGGGGGACTTATTTTTTGGACTGAGTTTGGTGAGGAGAGTGCTGGCCCCTCGAATGCCAGGTGAGGGGTGGAGGAAGAGAGTCTTTCTTCATCATTTTCTTTGTATTTCAGTATGTATTTTAGTGTGCTAGTGAGTTGAGTGACCTTTGTTGTTTCCTGTGTGAACTGTGCCAGTTATATATTGTATTGAACCCAACCTTTTGTGTGATTAATATCAGTTTCAGCATTACTTGTCTACTGTTTTATCTTGGTCTCTATCAGAATCTGAGACATTTCTAATCTAGTGATGCTTCCCTATGGGCAGCTTATCTAATAATATCCGTATGATATGCACTGATCTATGACTTATGACTTAATGATATCATCATGCCAGGTAATTTAGCTATTGAAAGTTAAAGTGATATTATATTGAGTTTATTTACGTGAATCTGATGCATAGTAAATGACTGTTCTGTCATTTAAAGATGATGGCATATTGGCTGTTTGAGATGCTGCTTGTATCTATATTGGAAAAATTACTTACATCCTTGCAAGGGAAACAAGAGAGATGTAGATGTACGACTGTGATTTTAATTTTCAAGAAGCAAACATAGCGCAGGGGGAACTAAGGATCATCAAGTATTTAACTTGAACACTTAGGCTATGAAAAAACGTTTTTAGCCATTGGTGATTGTGGGGAACCTCCCCTTGCTACTGCTTTTTCAATTTCTTCTCTCTTTTTTTCAAAAAAAAAAAAAAAAAACGAAAAATGAGAATAAGAATGGCTTTAGGGCCAGTGATTGGCAAGTTCCAGATTTTACAAGATAATTGGATGGCTTACTTTCAGAGACACCTTGCTGTGTCTTAGAGGTGGCATTGTAACTCGAGATTGTTTTAATATAGCACTCTATATATTTTAAGCAAATAAATGAGATGGAAAGTTGACTCATGAGTCTCCAGGCTTTCGAATTCTCCTTCACTCCATGGCTGGTTTTCAACTAAAGTAAACACCAAATTTAACTGGGGAAATATAGGCAAAAGCAACATATAACCTAGTCTATAATTAGAACAGGACCCCTATAACCAAAATTTCAAACATAGCATTCAAGCAACGACCAAATACACTGTTAACAAAAGTAGAGTGATGACTGAAGGCTAATTACGGTACATTAAAACGTTGTTTATAAAAACCAAAAATAATGTCCTGCTGTTATCTTCTTGGACGATGATCCCTTGTCATTTCACTAGATTATGTGTATTGTTGTCTTGTAGTTTATGTTCTCTCTGTGTTTATCAAATTATCAGTATCTTCTGTAATAGCATAAACATATTAGTAGAGACTAGAGACAAGGGACTGCCATCGGTCTTCAAGCCGTCCATCAACACTCAATTCGACAGCGAATTTCAAGAAAACCAACTATTTATGCATTTTGGAACAAGTGGTTGTGTTTGGTAGGTGTAAGATTGGGTCTATTAACATATATCTTCTTATTAATCAAATGCAGCATAGGGGGAGTGGATGGGGATCTGGTTTCATTGCCATTGCGGAATATGGAAGTGATTTTAAGAAGAAAACAAGGAACTCGAAACCCAAGAAAGTTGTGAGGCTATTATACAGCGGTAAGAACCATTATGATCTTCTCTGTTGAGGAATAATTGCATAGATGAATGGGGCGAAAGGAAAATTGGTGCATGATTCAGATTTTATTTTGTACTCTTTCCTTTTAGATATTGTAGAGTAGGATTTCATGTGGCTTTGACCTTAACAGTAATAGAAACACTGTGAATTGTCATATTCTCATTCTCTTTTACCTTTGACTCTTGAACGGTACATGCAAATGAGGAGTAGCTAGTGTTCTTCATTCGTGATGTCTTCCGATTAAACACACGTATGGACCTCAAATGATTGATTATAAACAATTGTACTTATCGTATCATTAAAAAAGACTAAATATTTATCATGTTTAGATTGAAGAATTCTATCATAAAGATGTCAGTCGTGGTTATGCATGAAGCATGGTAAATAATTTTTTTACCTAGTCCTTTTTTTTTTTTTGGGCCTGTTAGCCCGATCCGAAGTCGCAGTGGTTCAAGAGTAGATTTACACAACCCAGTTGGAGGCACAAATTGAGGGGGTTGTAGTGCCATAAATTCGGATCCTTTAAAATTGAAGATAAGTAGAAAGGGATACAATGATGAGAGCTCTCGTGAAAATGATTTTCTCTTCAAAATAAATTTCTCTTCACAGTAAACGGTACATTGTAATGATGATTACCCGATTAATCTTTACCATATTAAAGGCTGTGGAATTTATCCGTAGAAGAGAGAGGGGCTAAGAGCCTAAGAGCATGTTGCTTATATACATATCGTAAAGCAAAAGACTACTGCATTCGAGAGGGGCCAATCTGTTCATAAAATCAATGTCTGTGCAATGGGTCAAGCGTGCAATTTAATGAGCTTAGGAATTTGCTTTTATAGGCATGTAATCAAATGAGATGGTCCAATAGGCGAGTCTCTAATTTCTTTGATGAAACTAGGAGAAATGTTCCGGCTAAGGCATAAACCCTTCTTTGAAATTGCGATGATTCTTGAACTTCTTTGCACCATTGAATCCACCAAAGCTTTTAACGCAATGCATATGAGCTTAGCTAATATGATCGGACAAGTGGCCAAGTTTATTGGAAAACTCTAGGATATCATTTGATACGAAATATTAAAAATGAAGAATAGAGATTTGAATTGAAATTAAGAAAATAGTGTTTAGTATAAAAAATTATTTGTTGCATGAGATTAGATAAATCCATGTATGTGGGATTAAAGAATACTATGGGGAAAGTAGTATTCCCTAATCCTACTTTTATGAGTTTGCCTAATCCCATGTAACAAGTAATTAATCATGCTAAAAAAATTTTTAATGATTTTTTTCACTTATAATCCTAGTTTCTATCCCTTATTTTTAATATTTCGTATCAAATGGGATCTTAAATATCCTCTGGTGGCCTTGCTTCTTGGATCAACTGAAGTATCAATATTAAGTTTGGTTGTCAAATTAATCATCTAATTTTTATATTAAGGACTACAAGTATTATATTGATTACCTTCACAACCTAGTCCCATCAGGCTTAATACTCCAAAATTTAACTCACTTCTACGTGACTCATTCATACCCTTTCTTTTCAACCAATTCCCATCTTTTCTTTTTGTTTCTTTCACGGAGTAGCTTTGTCGCTTTTTAAATTCAAAGCATCTATCAACAAGCCCTTTTTTTTTTTGGTGAACAAAGAAATAAACCAAAATTACATTCTGATCACACGTGGAGTCCCACGTCCTTCCCTGTCCTCTCGAAGCAAGTCTCTGATTTCCGTGGGGGGTTGTTCCCAGAGCTCATAAGAGCTCTTGAGTAGAAGGCTTATATGTGCTAGGCAATCGGCGCATCGATTAACTTCTCTGTATATCTGATGAAACTCCACCCTCCAGTCTCTGTTCGTCCACTCTAGTACCTTCTGCTGAATATGTGAGTATCCTACGATAGTGGTTTGAGCTCAAGGAATCTACTATCTGTTTCGCGTCGCTTTCTACTTGATGAGTTTGAAACCTATGCTCCAGCATAGCTTCATGCCCTCTAGAATTCCTACCAGTTCTGCTTCCACTATGTCCATGTTTCCCAGCTTCTTTGAGAATCCTCTTAACCATTCACCACAATCACCCCTTATCACTCCTCCGCAACCAGTAACACCTTCTCTTGAGACCGTTCCATCTGTGTTTAATTTGCACCAATTTCTTGGTGGTGGGGTCCATGATACCCATATGGTCTCCTGTCTTTTAACTTGCAACGCATCACTCTTTGTGCCACACTGATAGTGCTTCAGGGCTTTCCAAATTTCGTTTGCTCCACTGTTTGGTGGTTCATAGTCTTGGTTATGGATTAATGCATTCCTCCATCTCCAAATGAACCAGCAGGTCACTGTGAAGATATCAGACCATCTCCAAAGTTCGTAGCTCTTTTTCATGTTTGTCATGTTCATATACAACCAAGAGTTCCAATCAGCATTGAGGAAGTCAACTCGATACTTGACAGGTAAAATATTTCTCCAGATTGCCGTGGCATGAGGACAATTTCTTAGTGCATGGAGAATTGATTCCTGTTCTTTTTTACAGATTGGGCATGTTCCAGTGGATCCATCCCATCACTTGGCTATTTCCTTTGTGATTAGCCTCTTATGCATGACCAGCCACATGAAGATTCTGGTTCGTTCTGGTACTCTCAATTGCCAGACTAGAGTCCATTCTCTTTGTTGCTCGTTTGCAGTTCCCCTCAACCAGTTGTAAGCTGAGGCTATTGTGAATTTCCCGTCTTTTGTCAATTTCCATTTTATCTTGGGTCCATCTTTCGATGACTGCTGTTGCACATATTCTATGTTAGAGTAACATCTGTCCCACATCCTGACCATCCCCTTCCAAAGTCTTGAATCACTTCTCTTTTCAATTACATTCCCCTGCTATATCTCTCTATCCCCATACTTTCCTTTCAAGACTCGAGCCCATAATTCATTTGGCCTCTTTAAGCTGCGCTAAATTAGTTTGCAAAGGAACGCCTCATTCATAGTCTGAAGAGTTTTTATTCCCACACCTCCCGAATTCTTTGGACTACACATTTTATCCCATGATATAGCATGCCATCGCCTTTTGCATTCATTGTCTCCCCATATAAATCCACGCTCTTTTTTCTCCAGTTCATCAAGGATCCCTTTAGGAATACTGTCATGTTGCATCGGGTACAGTGTCATGGCGTTAACTACCGACTTGGTAAGCGTGATGCACCCAGCAAGAGAAAGACTGGAAGCTTTCCACCCTTGTAATCTCCTGTTTACTCTTTCCACTATGTTCTTGTACTTATCTCTTCTTCTCCGGGGAAACGAGATTTCCGCTCCTAAGTGTCTTGACTCTGACTTTTTAAACACGAGGTTTCGATTTTGAAATCCTACTTCTAATGTGAGGGACTTCAGTGAAAAAGGGGTACCTTTCATGGGAGTGAATTGTAATTCCATATAAAAAAAAAAGGGGGAAATCTGCCCTTGTGGCATCGATTTAATGAAATGGGCCTCCAATCCAAATCTAAATCTCCCCATCCGGGACAGCTCCAGTATGCATACGTGGCAGTGGCACGCGCTCCCATATCATAACGTCCACGCGCGAAGACTGAAAATCTCCACAAAACGAAACCGAAACCGCAACCAAAGCCCCGATATTTTCACTTTTTCAGTTCATTCCATTTTACTCTTTCGTTTCTTCCTTCTCGTCTCCTTACCAAATTCGTCGAACACATAATCCTTTATATAAATTCTAGGGTTTTATAATTTATTCTTTTAGCGTCATCTGCATTCGCCGCGAAATCGTTGATAGGGGTTGTAAATTATGGAAGGGGCCAGCAATGGTGGAATGTTGTACCATGAGGTACAAGAGTCAAAGCTCTGCGCTATGCATTGCGTCAACACAGTGCTTCAGGGGCCATTCTTCTCCGAATTCGATTTAGCGGCTTTGGCATCCGATCTCGATCGCAAGGAGCGTCAGATGATGCTTCAGGGTGGCGTCTGCTCCGGCGATTTTCTCACCGAGGAGTCCCACAATGTGTCTTTGGATGGCGATTTTAGTATACAGGTTTCTTCAATTTCCTCTCTTTTATAAGTTTTAGTTTCAAAGTGTATTCTTTTATCTTCCCCTCTCACCTCTTTCTCATAGTATCAATGAAAGCAGGCAGAAAAACTTTGGTCAACTTATGTGGTATTGTATTGCGTGCTAAAATGCTGATTCCTGCGAGCATTATATAATTGTCGAGGTCCAACTCATTTTAAATCTTAAACTGTTAGGAAAAGGCTCGGAAAGGGCTTTTTATTAATATCTACTGAACACACACTTCTGGTGGAAGTAGCAAGTCTCTCTTGTTTTGGCTGAGTACTACATGATTACTCGCTAATTGTTGATTGAGCTTATTTGAATTTACATGCGTATTTCATGCTTTAGTTGATGAATGAACGTGGACGTGGAACAATGAGTTCTAATGGTCTACTTGAATGATCTATGGGCATCCCTTGTTGCATAATAACTGCTTACATTTTTTCGCCCGGAGGGAGTTTCCTTCGCTTGGACCAGATTGAGTAAGGAAGGGCGCACCTAAGTTTAAAATAGAATCTTATTCAGAGGTTTTTTCTTGTATATGGCAGTTTCAGCCCCTTCTCGATTTTTCTTCGTTGCCTGGAATCTCTACAAGCAAACTTTTGGGCGTTGTTCGATGCCTTTGGCTCTAGTGCGCAACTAAGTTTGTTTATCTATACTTTTACTGATTGGTGTGGATCATATGTGTATTCTAATGGTCATGCACCTTGGTTGAGCAAGAGATTTAACAGTTTGGCATCTTTTTCAGCTTACAAGTAAACTGGCAGCATGTTATATTTTGCATTCTTTGATCCTTTTAATGCTTAGATTGCATGGGCATGGTACGGGCATGAGATATGGTGTTTTTGGGGGGTAAGGCTACAGGCTTAGCAATGTATGCTATAGAATTAACGAACATTATATTGTATAACAGATCTTAGAATGATATTGTATAACAAATCTTATAATGATAAAAATAGTATATGATGAACCAGAATAGTACTACATTATGGTCCCCGTTTATTTCATAAAACTTTTGTTTGCTTGAGCCTTTTGAACGATAATTTTATTTTCATATATGATAGTCATATGCCAGATAGTCTTGTGGGGATATTTGATATTTGAAATTCTAATAGCTACTTAGCATTTCGTTAGGCTAAAAGTTTTCATAATCATATAAACATTAGCTTGAGGACCAAGTTAACTTGTGTGGCACAAGTTTTGAGCTTTATTTTTGGCACTTTAATGGGAAAGCTGAGCAAGAAGTTTAAAATTTATACATGTG